AGGACAGTTAAAAACACCAAGAATAAAGTAAAACATCGAGCCATTTTCAGTTTTTTATTTGTATATCCTCGTTGGAACTGCTCAAATTATTGTTCCGTTTCTTTCTTTCGCAGCGAACTATTAACTCTTCGGTCCTTCGCAAACGAGAGTTTGTGGCGAATATGCGATGTTCAAATTGTTCGGGTTTATTTATACTCTCCTACAAGATCCTCTAGGCCACGAATGCTTTGTTCATGTTTGATTTTGATTGATGTCGTCTGAACAGCGGAAGTTTTGTGCCGGCAATGAAATGCTCGCCATGACTCTGGGAAGTACAGTGAAGGCTCTTTGTGTCGGTTAAACTTTTGTGGTAATTAAAGTACTGTAAATAGCACCGGTTGCACGTTCTTGCCTTTTAAAGCCTCTTCCCATACATTCTTATATTGCTGCTGCTGGGATTTTTCCTACATCTATTTTAGGACGCCCGAATCTCTATTTTCGAACGGCTAATACAATGCATGCATTGTTATATTTTAAAACTTAGTGAAATATTTTAAACCCGAAGTCAAGATGAGTCAAACTTTTCAAAACAATCCTGTATAAAGACTGCATAAAACATCTACAACCACGTGCATGCAACAGGTCGGAGAATTTGGCAGGAAAATTCGAGTTTGCTGATATATGGGTATTATAGAATCAATGCATGGTCGTATAGGTCAACGGTCATTTATATGTAGGTATCCTCAGGAGAATCAACGGGATTTTTTTCCGGATTGCCCATGATCAAAACATCAATACTGTTTACCATATGCATTGCTTGCAGTCAGGAAAACATACTTCATCCAGAATTCTGGTAGTTTTTGAGTCATAACTCGATGTGCTAAAGTAAAAAGGGGCGAAGTCAAAACCCCCAAAAAACTCAATTGCGCTGGCGAAACTTGTCATATTCATATATTGGAGAATATGGACGTTTTCTGGTAATATTCTCGTGATATTTAAATTTCACAACTATAGGAGTGTAGACTGACTGTGGAAGGTTGTGAGGCGAGGACGTCAATAGTTCATTAATCATAAATTTTCAGACGAGCTCCACCCACCATGGAAAAAGGTATTTAGGAAGCAAGCTACCATACCATGCTGCATTTTGATTGAAATTTAAAGTGCTGGACCAGCAAAACGTCTTGCACAATGTGTTAATTCAAAGATGAACGTTCAGATGAGGGCAAAGGCCAGATCACATCTACCAAACATTCATGTTTAAAGTCAGATTGCATGGCCGTTCTCATAGAAAATATCACTTGCTATAATTGCCCATTTACCTCACACAGAGACTGCGGAAATCGCTTGTTGGTAAAATATTAAGGTGTTTAGCACATAACTGAGTTCTAATTTTAGAACAAAACTATGCTTATAATATTGCCTTTAAAACAAAGCCTAATTTATTTCGCAGTGTGCTAAATATTAGAATATGCGTATTTGTCAGCACTTCTCTATATAGTCACGTCTCAGTCAATAATAAAAACTACGTGCAAAAATGCAATTATACTTGTTATGCCGTTATGCTAATACCCGTCAGCCCATATCCATATCCATACTTTTTTACTACGATTTTACTCATCAGAAGAATGGGGCGTTGTCACAAATGGACTTGCTGTACCTACCTATCTACGTAGGATATTCAAATAGAGTAATTGGTGTGTTATAGAAATTGCACACACAAAGAGAAAAATATACGAAATAGTCTGCATTTTACGAATTTAGGCTAAATGCATGCTCGCAGTTTCGCTCCGAATATAGAGCATTCTAGCGTTGTGTAATTTTTCGGCGTCTTTATATCATTGTCTTAGTCATACAATTGAGGTACAATTTAACGCACCAAGTTTGGCAACACATAATAATGAAGGACTAATTAACTGTTTCTTATTGCCCAATGGTCGAGCTGATCAGATAAAGAGCTGTGGAGATTGGTGTCGATGTTTACAATCGCTGACGTTCACCCCCCGAACTGTTCGTATCTTATATTTCCTTAGCTCTTGAAAATATCCTGATAACAGGTTTATGTGCTGCGTGTGTGGAAACAGTGTATTAATTAAGCGTGTACCAGCAGACTTTCTAGATCACGCCTTAAAGTCATAATGACACGGGGGCTACACAACTGTGTAGTTGGGCGAGACAACTGGATACCCTTGCAGAACTTTCCAAGTCGTCTGGTTTAATTGAAGATGGTTTAGTTTGGGTTACCCCCTGCCGTTACCCTGAATTAAAAAGACAAAAGAGGGGTATTTTTGAATCCCTTTGACAAATATTTAAAAATTGAGAGAGTCATCTGATATAAATAAATTTAGCAAGATCGTTTTATTTCTGGTTATACCTCCCGTAGTAACACCTACACAATATCGAGATTTATTTACTCAGGATGAATGCTACCACATCTGCTTGTCTTCAGTTCAATTTAAGGTGCGTGTTATCGCCTTATTATTCCAACTGACTTGCACTCGTTGAATGTGAAAGTTGCACAATCTGAGTCCTTTTCTCAACCAGTGTTCATATTTAGGGTCAGTTTTATTCTATACAAACCGGTCTCTAGTAAATGTCGTCCAATTATTCAATTACATGCATGTATACACTCGCTGCATGAAGGAGATTGTGAGAAATCGTTTGTAATATTTAGGAAAATACTACATAAACTCTCAATTGGATGACTACAAACCATTATGCAGATGGTTTTGAACACTTAATGCATTAGAATGAGCGAGGGTAAGCTTCCTAGTTAGAGTTAAATCCTCGTATATACCACCCTACAGTAGACGAACTATACTGTAAACGAAAATTCCATTTCCGTGTACTGATCTTTCCTCCAGGGTTGTCTGGAAACCCTGTGTCTCATATATTGCATATGAAATGTGTGAAAATTCTTTGATCCGGTTTAATTTTTGAAACACTCCTGCTATGCTCAGTAGATGTGCAGACGTCGGTATATTCGTGTATCGCATGCAAATTTTGTACATCGCGGTTACGGCAATGAAACGTTTCCTCAAAACCTGCCAGATTGAGCAGCGTGCGCCACACTTCACACATCAAAATTGTAAGAAAGAGATACATTAAAAACTGGATGCCGTACAGCTGTATATAAAATCGTTGTTGGAAAAGTAAATTCCCAGCTAGAGTACGCAGCGGTCTCGCTGATATATACAAGGTTATTTATGTACAAAAATTGTTTTGGCAATAAATTTCACAGCTTGATCGCCACGGGCACCCATCACTTTATCCGTGGGCGGTTACGGGATATTTTTATCTTCTAGGCTATTTTAGTTTCGTGATATTTTTAGTCGGGGAAAAGTATGCTAACTATTATGCTAAAATGCCACGTTCAATAGTGACCATGCACTAAATTAACACGAAACATCAAACATTTAACGTATGATACTTTGAAGGGAGACGAGAATTAGAATGTGTGTATAAGCTAACCAAGGAATCAGACTCCCAATTCAATAATTTGGTCTTGTACATTTGGTCTGACTAGTACAAATTCTATGCAATCAGACCTGCTTAATTTACTAAAAGAAGACGAAGTCAGGTGATCATGATTGCACGAGGAGTTTTCTATAAAACCATACGGTCGTATACTATTTTTTGTTGCACAAAATAAACAAATATCTTAATTCCTATCTGTGGGCATGTAACATTTCATATTTTGTCATTTTAATCAGTTTATGAATGTATATTTTTATTCTAATGAGTAATTCACAGCAGAGTCTCTTCCGGAAATCTTAGCATTCATACTAGTAAAAATGATCTGTGTATAATGTCTGGAACAGTAGGAACAGTGAAGCTAAAACAGTGGTGTCTCTATTTGAATAGCAGTTTTTCAATGAGATTTGATTCAAATGCCCATATGCGGCGACATGCATGCTAGCTTGCGAAGTGGATAAATAATTATATTTTTTGGTATTTCCGAACGGCGCAGCTCGATTGCAATGGTTTGTTTTAAAGTGGAGTATAATAGGTGGTGCCCCTAACACTGCATAATAAATTATATCGACTTAAACGTTAGGTACAGCTGGCCACATTTTACCCGGCAACAAAGCTCTCGACTCGTCCAAAAGGAATTAGTGTAACGTACTTGAACGTTATACGTTCAAACCATTTAATTCAAGCGCTCATCGTCTATAAACAACCTTAACACAAGATGCACATTGCTTATGCGAAGGACACGTCAATATTTCTCATTTCTTTCTCAGGACGACCTGGGGTAGATTGAGATGATGGAAAGACATACTCTGAGTTGCAAACCATGCACCTATAGCCTTGTGTGACAGACTCAAGTCAACTTCACGAACTAAAACTTTGTATTTAAAGATTTTCTTTGAGATCCTATCAACAAGGCTCTTCACATTTCAAAACACCTGCTGTAAAGCTCATTGGCATTTGACTGCAAACTTAAAATGCACTTTCCTCAATCGTTTATAATGAATTATAACTTCAGTATTAATCAGCGTAACTAGGCCAATTTGTCAGACATATTGACCACCTTTTAAGCCAAAACAATAGAGCGTAGTGACACAGTATACCTATCAGAAGAATAACTCTATACTATTTTTTCTTAAGTGTGATTCCGTCATGATTCGTCACTTAGTTAGTGCATTTTTTTGAGGTAGTCACCCCCCTGCCAATGTATAAAATCAGCGCATTTTTAGTATTGGCAGGGGGGTGACTACCTTAAAAAAATGCACTTGCTAAGTGACGAATCATGACGAATCACACTTACGAAAAAAGTACAGGAGTTCTACTTCTGATAGGTATTCTGTGGTAGTGATCACATAGAAAACATGCACCTCAGCGTTTATTAACTGTTGGCAACAGCCTCTTTTTCATGTTTGCACGTTTTAGCATGAGTGGCGGCCATGAACGTCATTCAAATTGAAATATTCCCTGCATTGATTTGTTCCTCATCAGAGGTAATTCTAAAACCTCAATTTGCACAAAACATGATCGAGTAAATATACATAATTTATGTCCATGATAGTATTAACATCACAACATTGCAACTTTTAATGCATAACTTGAAATTCATGACAAATTATTCATATGCGTAGTTAGTATTTTAAAACCTCTATTTACAGTACAATAGGAGTAATACACGTATTACTTTGATATTAGTTTCTTTAAAGTACATTCTTCCCTTAGTTATGCTGCTATTTAGTTTATAGGTACTGACTAGCAGCTTAATCACCGATTGTCTCCCGAACGCTTGTAAACGTTTTTGTTGGGACAGTTACTTGTGTCTCAGCGAGAGTTTATTTGGCTGGGGGTTTCAAACACACGTGATAATTACCGAAGATTCTGCAAAAAAGGATAGTTAAAAGTTGTTAGAGTTAAGTGTTAAAAATACTATAGTACTAAAGTCTAAAGAGTTTTGGGGAGATTACCATCTTGAGTTGGATCAAATAAAATGCAGAAGAACACAAAATTGCTAATACACTGCTTGCAAACTGTACAACCGCGAAACAATAGAGAGGGACTGGCACCGTACGTCGATTTGATTTTAAAGTCAGCGGTCATTGAGTTATCGTTCCAGTTCCTTACAGTTACAGAGATCACTGCCACACAGCTGAATCATGCGGCGTTTTGACAAAAGCATTGGGAATTAATAACGTCATGTGATCAAATAAGTTGAATAATGAAATAGGACCGCGTATAGGACTCTGATTCAGAATGATTTTACCTTACAATTGAAATCTCACAAAATCGTCAGTCTCGTCTCATTTTTATCCATTCCTCTAGATTATGTATCCTAGGCTGTTTTATGTTACACTTCGTATTAGGGTGTTTTGTATTACACTTGTTTAGTCTTCAATCAAGTGGTTTGCTGGTTTCTGTCGGAAGTAGGCACAGCATTGCGTAACCGCATCTGCCATTTCTGCTTTCCATTTTCCGAAACCAGCGGTTTCCAACAAGCAAAACAGAAGACATAAAGCTTCCTTACCCTACTTGTCTGCATTCCAATTTCTTGCTTTCCTTACATGGACCACATGCAGTTTGCACATGCGCACCAATATACACTGTCCTGTATTGGTTAACTGGACCGCAGACATGGTTTTCATCTAACTGAGGTTTGCAGATTGATACGGCTGGATTGATAGCAGGTTCTCGTACACAGCAGTGATCTGGGGCTTTGCAATCTTCTTTTTTGTCGCAGAATGTGCCTAGATGAAAAAAATAAAGTTCGTTACCTGGTCTTCTTCAATTCTACGCTGACTATGCGTTCAACATTTAGTGCACCTCTATTTAATACATCACGACAATAAGAAAATGGAGGGATGGGGGGATCAAAGTAGTCTTCTATACAGATATCTTGTGGAAAATGCAGGAGAGGTAATCCTCAACGTTTTTTTTAAGCTTTCTCCTGCAGTCAATTTGAATGAGCATAAAAAGGATTTCCGTAGACACTTAGCTATTTGACTTTGAATTCATCCGTTGACTATTACACATGTCATCCAGTGCAAGTCTAGCTTATGAGTCATCTTATTTAATACTGTATCTGCAACTCGTACTTGAATTCTACGCTAATGCAGTGTTATCCGGTGAGAGAAATCCGGTGTGAATATAAACTTTGGTCTAGTTTAGGTTGACAAGACATGCCGTCTGCCGGAGCTTCAGGGAAAGTGCTCGTATGCAAGTGCACGATGAAGCCGTTATTTGAATGAATTCAAAGAGCCCTGCTTTCTTACCTGGATCTTTCTTCGCTCCTTTCTTACACCGACCATAAATACATTCTGTTCCATCACAACATTGTCCATTCTGCGTACACGCGACATTCTCTTTCAAACAATCAACGCACATGAACATGTGGCAGAAAGATTTGGGGTTTTTCTTGGTACAATCTTCTTTTGTTTGACATTCCATGTGGTAGTATCCCGGAGCTAACATTTGCTGAAAGAGAAAGATTTTAGAATGGATTGAGTTCAAATTTGGTTAGAGAATAAAAATCTCAGGTTTAGGCATAAATAGGCGAATAGCAAATTATGATAGAAAGAATTAGAAAACAAGATGTAGGGAATATGTAATGATTTATCGTGGATGGGCTATTTTAGTGACAGCCTAACTGCAGTCAGTGCTACATTGATTTTTTCGTTGAAATAGTTATTTGAGACAACTGCCTTTTTTTATACCGTAAGCAAAAGGAGGAATATAGAGACTTGGAAACCATTTGTATTAGGAAGAGACCTGATGTTTGCTCTTTTCGTGAAATATATTAGAATTTGAATGTTTAAAAAACCACATTTTTCTATCTAGGAAAGGATTTGCAGATAATCCAGTACGCTCCCTGACACGAAAACTACTGGTTTTAAGGTCTTATGCGGTGATATAGGTCTTCCGTAAGCAGAAATAGAATCAAATGCAAACCAATATAATATTATGATATCACGTTAAAAATTGATGACACTAGGCCTTTGGACAATTTTGGAAAACCAGTGAGGACATGGACCGCAAACGCAGTTCAAAAACGATCATTGATATAGCTGTGCCAAGATGATTTTGTTGCCTACGTTGGATACATCAAAGTTTACGATTTCGTGAATAATGTGTGTCATCTATATGTGTTTATTGTTGATAGATGAAAATTGGCCCGATCTCTTTTGTGTATTTTGCGCCACTAATTGCACCTGCTGAGGTTATAATCGTTTGCCACAAGAACAACGAGTTATGATTTATTGCCTTTTTTTAGATCAACGGTCGATGGAATAAAAGATAGAATTTAAACAATGAGACAAACAACGAAACGTTTTCTTATCTATAGATCGTAATATTTAACATTTCGTACCTTTTTGGAAGCATTCTCCGTGCCTGATTTATCGTCTTTCTTATGAAGAATATTTGAGGTTACAACGCTGGCCAGTAGAACACAGCCGAGAGCAACAAAGAAACGATTCATCGTCGTTTCTTGTATAAAAACAACCAAATCTTTCAGCTAGGAATCTTGTATTAAACTTAAAAACCCAAATCCTTATTTGCCTCGATGAAACCGAACGATAACTACTAAAATAATTACATCATTACATAACTACCGGTGCATAAAATTTTCACCAAGTGGATGCTATACGCGTTTCAATTGCTCAATAAACGTGGGGAGATGAACACTCACCTCCCACTTAAATTTAGTGTGTTCTATAGATATGGAATTACTCATTTCACTATTTTCAAGTAACTTTCAGGTGTAAAATTGAGAATGTTTGCTGAATTTTTAAAGTTATTGATTGAACGCTTCATTGCATCAACGGTTCCAACTGAGCAATTTTAAGTTCATATCCGATGAAGGCAGATGAACAGTTTAGCCCTGCGATAAGGGGGAAAAAATTGTTTGGATAAGTATTCAAATTGTTTCCGGATAAAATACGTTATACATATAAAAAATCGTTTCTATTTGAAAAATATTAATATAAACGAATTATAAGCGATATTTAACTAAAGCAACCGCCAATTGATCTCTTCACTGGTACCAGAAGCGATGATATTTCAGTAAACAATTATTGAACAGGCAAACAAGTTTGGAAGAGCACAAAATGGAGCGTAATATAACAATGACGTTTTTTAATTTATTTCACTAATTTAAAATATAAATCTCGGTGGGCAGACCAAGATCATTTCTCATTTGAGAGAATCAAACCCCGAGCTACTTATTCCGCTCGGTGATTTTAAACATCTCGGGAATGAATTGTCATTTTCTTGCGATATTTGTGTAACTGATGCTCATGCGCGGAGCTAAAGCCCCGAGAATGCTGCCGGCTCAGTTTTTCAGCGGTTCACTGACGAATTATTCAACACTTTGCATTTAACCCACTTTTGTTTACCCACTGATCTTAATTTTACACAAGGCACCCGCTGACAATATGAGCCTGCACGAGTGGCAGAAATTTTACTAATTTTGACCAGCGTGAGAAGTATTAGAATTTTACGATGAATTTTTTACGTTCACTAACTTTTACGAAAAGGATACGTGGTAGAATTTTTTGGTAGTAGAAGGGTTTTTGTAGCTATATACATAAATTTTTGGTGTAGCACCATGAACTTCCTAAAGATTGAAACGATAACCCTTACTGACGGATCACAATCACGACCGCTATATTTGAAGCCGATTTGAGGAACAGTGTCATTCTCATTCTATTGATTTTGTTGCGCGCAAAATGGCAACGAAAATAGAGATAGCAATGGTCCTTTCATTCGGCTTAAAATTGGACATAGTGACCGAGTTATCATCGCAAGTTTGGCACTGGCACAAGTTTGGGTGTTGACAGAACATTCCTTTTAGTGTTTGCTTTCTGTTTTGCTAAGAACCATATCAGAATACAAGTTGACAAAAGCACATTTGTTTGAGTTTTTGGGCAGTGGACTAACAGCACTATAGGCTTTCCCTTTTTGCCCCTGGCATGCACGAATAATCATTTTCCCCCCGTTTCTCCCAATTTAGTTGAATTTGTTACCTTGTTTACGCCAAAAGATTACAGTTTGGAGGAGACAGCTTGACCGAACTTTTAACGTCCATGCATATTTTTGAAGTATCCATTAAAAGGAGCTTTGTGACGATATTGATGTCATCAAACTGCACTAAGTAGTCATGTAAAGTTTTTTTTGAAAGGGGCTGAAAACTTTGCACGAATGGTCAATAGTCAATACCACCTGTCCTTTCCAGCAAAACTACGCGCTGCCTGTGCACTACCATTGTCGAAATGTCAGTTTTCAGTTCTGCTTGACCAGCGATATCATCCTCATGCATGTTCAGGAATGAATGAGCCTCAACAGAAAACAGCTTTCGTAAGGGTCTTAGAGAATTAGGGCAGGATTAATAGCGGGAGCGGAAGAATTATCCCCGATCGTATAATGGTCTCATAATGGAACTATCTGTCATGCAAAACTTTATGTGTTCATTATTCGTACACATTAATTGAATACTCGAAACGTTTTTAGAAAAACCTGTTAACATTTAAACAATTTATCTCTCAATGTGCTCCTCGACACAGACGGCAGCTCGTAGCTGTTATTGCGTGCTCGCGTGGCCGTTGCCATGGCGATAGGACTGCAAATGTTTATGCAACATCTTCTGTACACAATCATTGTGTGCCAACCGAGTAAAATAATGCTTTCGCACAAGTTGCGCTTTTTGCACCCATTAGAATTAAAACATGTTCAAGCACGTTATTTTGTGAAGTATACTCAGTTTTTTAAGTGGCTTGAATGAGAATTATCTAAGACTAAGTTATTCCATCCTTTTATCGTACCTACTCTGAATTTGACATGAATGAAAATATCGCGGACAGCATGACAGGCAGTTTAACTGCGAATGAGACAGTTTAATTGATTTACCAACTACTTTGACGCGCAAAGGTAAATTTTATAGAAATTCTTCCATTGATTCATCTTCTAATATTGACTTTTTGATTAAGCCGGGGACACAATGGTTTGTTTAGGATTTGGGTCTTTGCCGAGAGTTTATGAGAAAACAATTTGCAGGAATTCCTTTTATGTGTTATAATAACGTAAAGTTTGTGCAAGCGTAACTGATACAAATCTATAGAAATACTGGTTCTGTCATCTCTGTTATCAAGTATAGGCCGGCGATAGATATTGCCGTGATAGCCTATTATTAAGGTTAAATGATACTTAGTTTAGTTAGTTATAAAAAGATATCACATGAATGTAAATAATTGAAAGTCTGTAATTCTGCGGTTTTGGGAACTTGCAGAATTTAGCGTCGCTGTGGAAATTACTCTTAATATGAAGTGCACGTGAAGTACATCTCCTGTTTATCTTTTTTCAGTTCTCGTGTGCGTTAAATGCGGGCAATTGACACCCTGCACGAACTACGTTTTGAATAGCGATGCTTATAGGCTTAGATCTATGCTTAGATTCAGACATTTCACGCAGTCCTATAAGCACTTGTTCAGACCATACTCATATAGAAATTATACAAAGTTCATGTCCTAGTTAAAGGCAGCATGCCGGTGCACAAATATCTCGAGAAGTTTTATAGTATTCTGGTTATACAATGAGCTATATTTCAGTGTCGTATTTTGCACACCTGTCCTGCATCTGTTCGGCACGAATACAATATTTTGAAGCTTGCATCAGTACATGCGTTGCTATACCATTGAACCAATCAACAGTCCACTTTTTGTCCACAAATAATGGCATCCAACCGTTCGATCCTCATGTTCAAATTGCATATTTTCTTTGCGTTGTTCTCAGAAAGCTTCTCGAACTTCTTACATTTCTCCAGCATACGTGCTACTGTCCTAGACAATTCCGTGCACTCGTCGTCCAACAGAGCGATTGAACTACACAATATGCTCCAAGAATCGCGTCTCTTCTTCTGCTTATCAATCAACTCATCGTCTCTCTCGGGCACAGGCGGCGGCCCGTCCAATTGTTCCAAACGAAGCAGCCGCTCATAGTTCTTGATAGTCCCTAGCAAATTTCGAACCAGAATTTTCTCTTCTTTTAAATCGCTTGCAAGCTGAACTTGTGTACGCTTCAACACGCTGTTTTCCTGCTTGAGATCAGCCTGCTTCTCTCCTGCCATTCTCACCCGAGGGATAATCGGTTTGCGAAGAAGTGATCAATTTATTTTGGAATTCGGAAATTATACGCTCCGAGTTAATCCCAAAGACGTGCAATCAACATGGTTTTAGCCAGCGAAAGCGGAATTCTGAAATGTGAGCCAAACATTTTGTCAAGTGGCTATATTCGGTCGAAGTTAAACTCCCACGCCGGTGTCCTATTACACTGTTCCTGACACATCGATGTCAAGGTGCACTCGTTTGCAAGTATTTTAATCATTCTGATAAAATATTTGACAATTTGTTGAATAACAGCTTGTAAGGAGAACTGCATTTGTTTGATATTCAATTAGTAGCTAATGAATGGATTCAAATGTCAACGAAAATAGAATAGATACTGCGACCCCCTGATACTTTTCGTGTGCAACCCCTGCAGTCATCGTATCAGCGCAATTGTAAAATTACCAGAACAATAAAAACTTAATCCCATTTATATATAAAATCATTTAACCGAAGTAGCACTTCGTCCGGTGATAACGTATAGTAGAACTCACAAGTGGTATTTATAGTCGCACATATCGATGATTCATACCACGTGAACCGTGATACTGTATGTATGCGAAAGGGTATAGAGAGAGAAGAGAGGGGGGGGGGGCGCTTAACGTTTTCTGGGAGAACTTTGTGGAGAATCTTAGACGTGGTTGAATGTTCATTGAATTAAAGTAGAACTATAGGATGCTCAAGTTCATCCAAGCTTTTGAGGCCATGCATGCAACCGAGTGCTTTACCTATGGCCATGTTATTCCCTCGCGTTTTGTACAAATTATGTCATAAAAACCGTTTGTATATTAGTCAGATGTCCTTAGGAATATACACCTGGAGTCTGGAGATAGGCGCAGACAACTATATTCAATATGCCAAACGAAAAAAAACCCATGCCAAATAACAGCTGATTATAAATAGTGATAGCCATATATATCTGATGGTGTCAAAATCGTAAATGGACAATTTTGCATTGAAACCACGTCGAACCTTTGTCGAACCTTTGCACAGGCACATTCACGTGTAGATCCATGAACGAAGTAGACTTTATGAGCCTTTGTGTGCGTGCTTTGTGGGCTGTGAACGCGTAAATATTGAAACCAAATCAAGCCGCCAGATTAGCCGAGATTAATGCCAATGTCTCGTTTTGTCCTTTTTTTCATCGTTAGTCGGTTTTTCATTCAAAAGTATGTAATCTTTTTTAAGGCATTATCTGTCGTCTGTTTCACCCTATGAGGTGGACCTCAAGAATGTTGTTTTTGTGGTTGTGAGATCGAAGGAAACTTTGCCAACAATGAACTAGAAATGGTCGCCATGTTTTCCCTCGATAATTTTACAATAGCTAAAAGTATAATTACATGAAAAACAGTTAATATCATGCACAAAATTTACGATTCAAATTTGCAGCCTTCTTACTTCCCACAAAGTAGAAAAAAAAAGATCAAATTTTTTTTCGGCGTGCTCATTCAGGTTCTTTGAGGCGCAGGAGAATCCAACTCTCGTGACAGGCAGTGAGCTCCATATATACTTGTCGAGCATGCGCAGTTGATAACTTAGTGCTCGGTCGTGTGAAAAAAAGCTGGTTGCATATGCAAGTATTAGTATCTACTAGTATCAAAACATTAAGCTGTTTACACCACTAGTTCCAGTTCTGTATCTATTATCTACGGAGAAATATTAGGTCTAACAACAGTATAAATTCCGCTCTTTTTTATTTGAACCCTTGGATATTATTGAGACTGTTGAGTTGGGTATTTTCGTAATTTAATCCTGCAGTGAAATCATACAATGGAGAGATTGTTCGCCTCCGGCTCGTTGATTATGATGAATGTTTACCTGCATGACTTCGTCTCGGTGAATATAAATTGATAATCACTTCGCCTTCGTCCAAAAAATGTTGAATAATTAGAGAGCCATAATAAATATTGGCGGATTGCACATAAGGCGATTTAAATATTGTGAATGACACCTTTTTTAATCTCGCCCAAGATGGTAAAAACACGATGCATCACAAAAATAACTGCAAGGCGCCTAGGAATTCATACAGTATACAGATTATTAGCATCTTTAACCCAAGATCAAAACGAGAGGAGAACGAGATTACGCGGTATTTGGTTTTCGAGTGTACTTAATGGTGATTTCTATCTAAGATATCATTCGTCTTGATTTCGTCTTGATCCATATCTTTAGGTTTTAAGATGTCAATTTTCGGATCATGTTTTGTATTTTTTTTTCAATTGGTATTGTTTTAGAATTCGTTATTGAAATCGTGTCATTTTTTATGTTATCCACATGTTTATATAGGTCCATTATAATGTTCATTCAAAGACAAGCAAAATTGCCTCATATGGAAGACCAATCCTTCAAAAATGGTCTATAGATAATCGTTGACTTATCTTATTTTAAATCCTGTTGTAATCATATGCATATATAGTTCCATTATAATGTTTATCCAAAGACAAGCAAAATGGCCTCTCATGTGAAAGATCAATACTTGAAAAATGGTCTTCATAATCGCTTACTTATCCTATTTTTATTTAAATCCTGTTGTAATCATGCATATATATAGTTCACGAATATAATACCACGAATATACCCCGTTCGATTTAAACTACTGCATGTATTTAACCCTGTGAATGCAATCACATGCATTGTTAAATTGCGGTGATCGTAAAACCATGTCGGTCTACCGGCTATATATATTATATACTTTGATAGTCACTTTTGAAAGTTGTTAATCTTGGGGTCAAATATCGCGCACATGCAATTTCATGCGCTGAAACGGATTTCAAATTTCAAAACGGTAGACCGTCAGCTGCACGTTGATGGTCACGGGCAAAATTTATTTCGTTCCCAGATCACACAATTCTAACATCCACACATAGCGCAAATAGCCCTGCATGTCTCATGGTCGTGTATAGCGCTGGATCAACATACTCGAAGAAAAAAATTTCTGCATAGAGATTTGAAATAGCACGTATAATGCTAAACATTAAAGTAATTATGTACTCAAGATCCGTATAAAAAAAGAGCGATCGTTCTAGGCATAATAGCTTAAGCATAAAAAATAGTTAAAAGCTCCGCTTTCCTATTTCGTTTCTGTTCGATCGTGGCTGGAAATCTGCCGCGAGCTGTAACAAAAATGGGCATGGGTGTCTTTTTTTACTGTTGGTGATGTTATAGGAGTATTTTTTGCTATGTGCATTGAGAAGTTAAGGCTGTTAAGCCAGCGTGTTAAATATAATCAAACATATAACGTTCACAATTAATCGTCATAATTATATATAGGTCCCGTTTGTTTATACAGACTGTATACAACCCTTAATAATTCCCAGAGGCCCACGATCTTTTGTTATTGAATAGAAGCGAACAGTTATGAATATCAAGTGTCAAGGTTTTTTTACACACCCTGTACGTCGCATTTTGTCGTGTCGAATTCCATTAGAACAATACATAATGAGATGATATTTTCAGTAACCTCATTATTATCTTAGTATCCATTGTTTAAATCGCATTCGACGCTGCGAAAATGCGAGGTATACCAGGCCTTACTGCATTGTCATTCTTCAGAGGCTTTAAGTGTCTGTTTTGATTGTTTTCATAACAATGGAGGATTAAGACAATTAACACATACCTTTCGCACCGCTTCGACTCAATGGCATATCTGCTGAATAATGATATGCAAATTTTTATCATTTCTTTGCAACCACGACTGTTGTACACAATGTGACCTTATGTTTAAATCTAGTTATTGTACACCCTCCTGCATGGTCTCAATGTGGTAGTTATCAAAATCCGTTGGGGCTGTCTATATGGAATAATACAAAATAAATGTATAATAACAGTTTTGCCAACAAGACGTGGATCCCATGTGAAGAACAACCATGCAATAATATTAAGCTGTAGGACAATCTAAAAGCTTAAAGCGTGGATCTGGTAATAATCAAGCCTATGAAAACTGGTTTATGAAATGGGGAAATTCATTGAGTGCCTCGCGTTATCAATGGCAGTTAAATTGGGCTGAGAGCCTGAAAAGGTAACATAAGAAGTAATATATATGGGTATCGCAGCGACCGTGTTTTCTCCTTACAGTACGATACACGAGATTGCAGCCATGCAATATACGACACGGGTCACGGACAACAAACATTAATAAGTAATAACGTAAATGAATGGCAAGATGGCTGTCGCATGCATGTGCACGGCAAATTCAATTAGGGTTCTCCTTTGAAAACATTGATCTTTGAACTCTGAGCACGAAAGGGATGATGGATTATTGCTAACTCAGACATCAGTGTGTAATAATATTAAGGACAAAAAAATACCTGCTTGCTCCATATGCTATAATAACTACACGTCAATATGATAAAAGTCGATCTTTTGAATCAGCTGTATATATACTATATACCAATCTGTATTTTGTCTTGGCATTATAGGAAATCAAATTTTATTATTGAATACATAAAGATAAAGAATATAAAATATATTTATTTACATGAGTATTTCCACAAGTCGGCAAATAAGATATACTGATAGCTGGGGCCTTGCCTGGCATAGATCTTCTCTGTAATATATTTTCTGACAAAGTTTGACGCAGCATTTAGGATCCTATACAGAAAATCATATCACGAAAGCAAAAAACAAGATCTTGATATTTTATGCACACGGCCAATTTTTCAAGCAACAATTTTTTTCAAGTTTGGTGGCTTGTTTAAATACCCAAAGTGAATTGAATGAATTGATTTATAGATATCGGCTTTTTGAATACTTCCACTCAAACCAGAATATGTGTTATATGTAAAAATGGAAGGCCATTATGTACGGAATGCATGGACTACGCTACACACAAGAGATAATTCAATTTTAGCATTATTTTGTGGGGATCTTAAACTTTTCGAGTGTTTATCGACTTTGTTACGCTACTTCTTTTTAAACACACAATTTGCAGGTCAGCAGATCACGAAGAGAGGCACCAGTCCTGTTTTCAAACGAGATCCTTGTATACTATAGTGGAAGCTACTTGTATCGGACACAAATATGTCAACTAAAATGCTGCATTTTTCACGTTACACTGAGCGCAAGACGTATTCACTGACTTGGGGCAAACTACCAGCTCAAACCTGCTGATTCGAGCTAAACAATCCTGTACGTGTTCATTTGCCAACTACGATTCCTCCCTCGATGAAAACGATCATAATCAACATAAACTTCCTTATCTATATCTTATCCTGATAGTTTTTTCCACATTTTAGAAATAATGTATAACTTTGATTGGAAAAATTATCCCAGACTATCAGATTCTCTTCCATCAAGTGCAATTTTTGTGACATCAGGAGCTCATTAATAATTCAGAGTGTTTTATAAACAATCAATACCTGCGAACGAACTCAGTAAATCCTGACTTTAAACTTAACATTTCTTTCAACTTTTCGGCTTCTTTTTCTACTTTTGGTATTATGTTTACGTAGAAAAGCATAGTAAATGGCGACCAAGATGCTTAGGGTACTTTATTTTGCCCTTTTGGTGTTGTTCGTGTCCATAACAAGCAAAAAATTATCGAAACGAATGGTCGATGAAGATGAAACGGCCACAAATGAAGATACGTCGCGAGTTAAAAAGGTATTTTATTCTATTTTTTATTGAGTGTTGTTGATTAAATACATACATGAATTTGCATCAATCATAATGATTCTTCCCTTTGACTTTTGGAAGTTTTATACATGGTTTTATACGTAAGAATTAATTTTTAAGAAGTATATTGTGCCTTTATTAACGTTGAAAGATAACTCATTACGATAAGTCTTCGCTTGCGTAGTTTATCTAGTTATTGAAGATAATCTTCATGTGCTTATTCTTCATAAGTGTTCTTATACTTCTATAAGTGTTCTTATTCTTTAACAATACAAACAAAGTTGACTTGTATAATCTATATCTAGCTATGCACATTCGCGTAGCCACCCTGGCAAGTTAGTCCTGCTTTGGTAATATTTTGGTCTTCATTTACTGTGAAAGCAATGGATTTCCAAAGAAATGAATAATGGTATTAATTTGGAGGACTTTCATAGCAGGACTAAATCGTCAGGTTGGCACGCCACTGCCTATGTATAATTTCTAAATACAAGCATGAATTTCTATATTTTGAGCTAAGAAACACCTCCTGCGGGCGTTAGTCTGTCTAGTGATTTGGCCATGCAGCGACTGAACGTTGTATAACCTCGAGACAGGCGCTGATCGATCCTTAGAGGACAAAGTTCGATCTTCCAGTGCAGCCCAGTGTAGGTACAGACCCTGACCTGCGATGTTCGTTATATAATATTCTGATCCCAAAATTTGCATATAAACAGGTTAATATTTTTCAGTTAAGTCAATGTTTCTCAGCCCTCTTAACCCCGATCGTAAGCTTTCATGCAGCTCATCTTATCATTATATATATATAAAGAGAGAGGGCTATTAATTGGGTATGCCAATCGACTTTTCCCTCAATTTTCATTTTAAAAGCTGGACCCGTATATAGACGTGATTATTCGACTTGTCACCATGCATGTGTGATAAAAATATTGTAGTTTAACATTACTTTCCATTTTTCACTTTCCTCTTTTAAGCAAGGAGCCGAAGAGTGTCCCTAATTTCACAACTGCGCAGTAAATGTTCGCACGGGAAATTGTTTTCGCTCCGCCTCATATTTTCATTCTCGTCCATTGTTTGTTGCCTCTGGGCATGTTTGCAGAAAAAAAAGGGCGTAAGAACCTTAATGGGGTTTTCAAATTAAGAAACTCTTTATATCTAACGTCATTACGCTCTTCAAATTCCTGACATGGCCATTAGTAAATGACCAAACAATAACCACTATTGCCCTTTGGTCCTGTGGGAGGGATTACGATGTGCGAGATTTCCCTAATTAACCTTTGGCAGCTACTCAACTGACGCCTTGAAATCTTTGAAATACATTCTACATTTCATGCCATATACAATAAAGTTGAAGTGGACACACGAAGTAGTATTGTATTGTCCAGGGGACGATTGTACGAAGGTTGTGAATAGCGCTATCCACTGCACGGTGGTGATTTTTTCAACCGTTCTAAAAATTCTTGAAGAGCATTAAAATGTCAGCTTTGGAATCAACAACTGTTAAAGAGGATCCTCAATTTAGGAATACTAAGTTTTAATGAAAATTATAGCAAACAACGGACGATTTTGAAGCGATTAAAAAAATAACTACACGTTGGATAGCGCTATCCGGCTTTCATACAACCGGTCCCAGGATTATGTCGGGTTATTCATTTCTTTTATCGACACATTTTCTCGTCGTCCACAGATGATAGCACCAGGCTACTACACACAGGAGTGTAACTCACAGAAGAAGTGTGAGAAGGGAAAATATTGTCATATGTTTTTATGTGTGGATTGTCTCAAAGAAAACGTTGCGTGCACCCAAAATGGTCAGTGCTGTGTCGACCAAGGATTGTTCTGTGTTTACGGAAGATGCAAGGCTGGTGCATCGAAAGGCGCCGCAGGTAATTTCAGGCCCTGACTTATGCTGCATGTTTTCTTCCCTCTGGTTAGTAGCAAGTTGAAGGGGGAGAGGCGGAGCGTTATGCCTGCCCCATCATACTTCGTGACTATATAAGTTAACTCGTAATCGATTTAATGAGTTGCATGTCCAACTTCATGTTGGTATTTGAAATAGATACATGCAGTTGATTTAGTTTTAAGTTACCTTTTATAGATATCATCACTTGTTGATGGAAAACATTTTAGCACTGATAAAGCTATCTAGATGAACTAAATTATTCGATTAACGCTCTTACTATCCCTAAAAGGTAAAGCTATCAGCTCGAGTTAAAAAGTTACATTGCCTAAAAGACAATTTCCCATTCCTCTCCAGGAACATTTTGTGATCGACAGAGTGACTGTAAAGAACCAGAGACGTGCTGTGTGCGGGAACCTGCCATTAACCCTGCGATCTCTGTATGTAAACCAGCACTGGATGAACATCAAACATGCGGACCCTATAATCAATACAGAGCGGTATACATTGGAGGAACCGTGCAGGCTGCATGTGGGCCATGTAAATCGGATTTGACCTGCAAGCAAGTCGGGTAAGTACCGATGTCTTATACTAATCGATATGTGGCTGGAGCTGTTGTGTTCAGCCAAAAAATTCCTGGTATTTGTATTGATGGCGAAAATTGATCTCTTGATGATGTACATTATTATGAATTGTTGTTTTTAGTATCTTTGGTGTGCATCAGATATGTTTGCCTGCCAAACCAGCTGGAAAATAGAGATTTCGAAGGAAAAGTAATAAGTGGGAATAAAGAATGCGCAATAATCTTGAAAAACGGCGATGGTTTCATCACTTCCTCTTCTGTTGCACGGAGGAATCCCATTTCCATACTAAAACCTGGTGTTAACGAACACTTTACTTGAATTAAACATTTTGAAAGATACCATCATATAAAATGCGATAAAATGAAATTTGTATCTTTCAAAGATTCTCATGGGATTTAGAATTACATACATATGCACGTATAAAATAATAAATATTTGTTTATGTATACTTGTGCATGGATTATAAGTATATGTGAAGAATAAATGTTGTTTATATTACTACGAATTCCCTTGTAAATATACAGATTTTTCAATGGAAAACACAAATATATGTAGGAATATATTGGTCTAATATGTGTGGTTTTAGATTTGCTGATAAAATTATATAGATGTGCAATTATTGCCACTTGATTTTCAACCGGATCGATTGTCGTTGATAACTTAATTCAGTATCGATGGAACGTTTACCAAGACGCCGTGTCGTACTTCGTTTTATTACATAAAAACAACAGACCGAACAAGTTTAGTTACAACAATATCCTCACCGATGAATTAATTGATATACATGCATGCAAAGTCCTCATCTTCTCGCAGTTAAAACTACGTGCAGTAAGGAATTACATATAGGTCGTAAAAATCGTTCCCTGAATGCAAAGGTAAAAAACGAAGTTGATCAGATCATATAGTCTTTCAACAAATGCAGAATTATCCACCATGATAAGAAAAGCCTTTTTATATTACTAATCTAGAAATATGGTTAAACTGTTTATCTTGACATAACCTTGCCTTATCTTGTCAGATTTTTCTTAAAACGTTTGAATATTTTTATATACAGTACACTTCTTCACTTATGAAGATGTCATTTCGCATATGATCGTATGTGATCAAGATTATTGCATTTATTATGCATTCATACGCGCGCGTGCATAATATGCTAATATTTGGTCTCTAGACTTTCAAATGTCTTCCCATTAATCTGTCTTCGGATCGACGCATATTTCATGAACTCCAAAGATTCTATAAATAGAAAAAAGAATAAGAATGCGTCCTATACCAGACAATGTATAAGTCCCTGAGTGATGTCTGTCAGTGTGAAAGTTAAAGTGTATAGGATACTGTTATGTTATAAGATTGGTTTTTCCCATGAGTACATCGATCTCTGTTCTACTTACCCGACTTGTTTGCAGATGAGGTTCTTCTCGCAAGGTCCGCACGCCGTCTGCACTTCCGCACCGACATAGACTGTTCTGAAGAAGTTGATGGGCCCACATACCATGTTTTTCTTTAGTGGAGGCTTACATATTGAAATGTGAGGGTTTATGGCTGGTTCTCTAGAAGACGAAATAGCTTTTAGATTCTCGTTGTGCCTAATTCTACCGCTAAACTTTACACCAACTCCTCTTCCTGACCTATATATAAGTAAGCTTTATATAGCGTACACCTCCAACCATTCTACTCTAAGCTAAATACTATGGCACAAACTTCACGCCAGTGTTCCCAACTCTAGGCTTTGTGATGCTGTACGCCTCTGGATGGCAACATGATACTCAAGATAACCCTACCTTACACAACACGTCCCTGCAGGATCCGTGCAATCCTCGTGTCTATCACAAAACGTTCCCGGTTTTCCATTGGCACCTTCTTTCTTACATCGTCCGTATACACACTGTCCTTTACAGCACTGACCGTTCTGCGTACACGCCACGTTCTCTTTCAAACAGTGCACGCATAGGAACATGTGACAATATTTACCTTAACGATTAAAGAAATAATATGAGTTGTACAAGTCACTTATACTAGAGGGGAAGAGGGATGTGAAGTGGGTTATAGCTGTGAGCGTGTATTTTGAATGTTAATTGAGTCTATGTTTCTCCAGCGTTTATACTGAATCATGCTAACGGGATTTTAAGAATTAAAATTTGACTGTTGAAGCCGGAATATTTTATTTTGTTTGAAGATGACGTTCGAATAAAATTTTAAAAATGTTGTCTGGCCGGCCTTATTTATGCTCGAGTCATTCATCATTGTGTATAGGCTTGAAACGACTTAGTCGACCTGTTTAGCCGAGAGTAGTCGATCTGAACTGATATGATTGAACTTTGAAGTATAACTGAAGTTTGTTAAGTTTGTTGTCCAACCTGCTTCGCATTTCTTGTGAGCGTTGCATTCTTGTGAGTAAAATCCTGGCGCCAACATCCTCGTCCTTCCCGTCTCTTGTACTGCGCCACCGTCAATAGATGGTGTGGCTATACTAAACTAAAGAATCAATAGAAATAATCTTTTATAACTGAGGACAGGAATTCTCTTGAAACAAGGCTAAAATTTTATTCTGTTAAAAAACACTACGACGGACTAAGGAAAAAAATGATTTGATAAATATAATCTATACTCTATATTAGCAACGAATATATAATTGCTTGATATAATTTTGCTTTCTCGTGCAAGATTATGCCAAGGATCACTAACTTAAGTGAATGTCATTAGGATTATAATTGTTATTCAATAAAATCTTTCAAAACAGCTAGCCTATTCCGAAGATGTTCAAATTTTGAAATTAATCTAATTGAAGATATATATGGACTGTTATTTCAGCTATCAAGCATAGCTTTTTGTTTAGTGCGATGAATATCAACTGTTCTCGTACGAATTGTTTTAAAATTTTACCGAACAACCTGCTTAAGTCAATCATAATCATAATCGTGGCAATCATTTCAATATTTGATCGATGTTTGAAATCATGTCAAGCTGAAACTGAAAAACTTTACCTATCTCATCTTAACAACATTATTATAAATTTGTTCTTATCAAACAGTATATAGTATAACATTTAGTACCTAAATGACATTTTAAGCGTAGTTTATTCATTATTACACTGACGCAGTTCTGATCGGAACTAGACGCGATAAAGCGCAAAAGCTTCTAGAAGATATATGTGCTTTGTTAACACATTACCTAAAATATTCTTCAGGTAGTTTGGACCCGAACCACGGCAGTGTATTGCGGAATCCTACTGTCATATAATTTCATCGCTCTTGTATAATAATTCAACCGTTACTTTACCTTCTTTGCTATGTCATTACCACCATTTTTTAATTTAATTTTCTGTCCTTTCTTTTTAGTTTCTTCGCTCGTCGCTTGTACAAGGAGAAAAGTTAGGGCAAACAGTGCCAAGAATGGCCTTCGAGGCCCCATCTCTCCTCAAAAAAAAGAATTAATTGTCCAAAATCTTTGTTTTGGCACTTTTGCGATCTTCCAACCTTTTTCCGCTTCGCTAACATCGAAGAATACGCCACCTTAATTCGTTAATTATTCAGGAGCTGTGTTATCGCGCGGGACTTGGACCGACTTTGCATGAGGTGGGTAATAATATTGTTTGTCTTAAATCACGTATATGCCTTGGATTAGACAATGATTTGAAGCTATTCAACGCGCCAAATACATTTATACAATATAGATAATAATAAAGGTTAATAAATGAGGTTTATCTTCTCATTTTCTGTTGTTTGAATTGTGTTGACGATAAATGATAATGATAAACTTCACTAAAAACCACATGCTGTGAAAATTAATAAAGTACGCGCTGTAAAAATATAATTACACATGCTCAATACTCAACCTAATACAGCAAAAAGCAACGTCTTGTTGTTTATGAGAAATGAACCAATCCGGATCACGCAGATCCAGAGGTAAAAATTCATTAGAAAAACATTTATCAATATAGGAACCCCTAAGTTCATGCTCTGCGACGTCATTTTTACGCATAAAAATATCCAGTGAGAAAGAAAAGGTCGTTTCTAGATTAGCACTGCTGCTTTCAACATGAAAACTGCATGACTCGTTGAGACTCACGATTTTCGCAATGTCAAAAAACAAGCTTAGCTTATGTTAGTTTTACATAACTGCTGTTGAAATCTTCTTTTACTCTGCCAGAAAAGAAAGGTCCAGTTTGATGGTTCCTATGTGGACCATGAAATTGTTGGCTGAATATAACATGCACGTAGTATGTCTCAAAATACGCCGCCGTTTCATATTAAAAAACGTTTTAAGCTGCTGCGGCGATGAATCTTTACATGCGGTTACGGTGATAATATCGCTACATACACGATTTTTGTTTTAGCGATGGCTCTTTGTGCTTTAGGATTCGGCAACATATTTTACAAACTTTACCTGAATTCCTTAAAGTGCATTTTTGAAATCCAAATCGACTATATAATCAACCGTTGCCGACGGTTAAAGAAAATATTAAGAATTTCTAAGTGATCGAATTAAAACTTCCCGGTGTGCCTTCTAACTAGCACGTTTTGCCGCTTCTATAAACTGTCCAAATGATTTTTTATTCTTTTTATTCTAAGAATCCAGTACATAAAAAATTACATCATGAAAAATTGTCCCATTTACACCATAAGCGAGCATACATTTTTAACTATGCATATCACAAGCAACTATTTAGCCATTGTCTCATAATTATTTTTTATTTGGTACATGCATAGATTAGTCTTCGTTCTCATCCTCCTCATCTGAGCGACGGCAAATCTTTCTTCCTGTAAAGCTGAAAGTGTATAGAAAAGATAATGAATATAATTTCAACCGCAAATCATTTGTTGATTGCGAAGTGGTTTCACTTATTATACTAGAACATGATGTATTGCAATAAACATTGTTGCTGCACTTTGATGAGAGCAATTTCAAAAATGAGAGGGTTATATCCAGTTATACAGTTGCTCGATGAATTTTGTTTTCATCTTTCAAAGGAATGAAAATGCATTGAGGAAGACAAACACGCGATATAATTGACGTTTTCAATATTGTTTCGTAAGGAACAAGGCTATATTACAGTTGGCCAAGTTTATCTGATTTGCTAGGATTAAGTAAATTGTGTAACAACCCTTGAATAAGGGGGAAAGCGCCTAGTTTTTTACGTACTGTTAGAATACTGCATGGTTGACTATAACATAACAATGATCCTAAACCTTACCTTAACTCCTGGCAAGTGTATCCCTTTTTGCAAGGTTGGTCATGCGTCAATCCTCCAAAGGGGAAGAAAGAAAACATTCTACTTCGACCGCATGTTTGACCCTCGTTGAGTTTATAAATACAGACTTTCGACACCTCGCTGATATCTAGTTGTAAGCCGCAGTGGAGATCTTCAGATCCACAATCTTTATTTTCTTTGCAAAACACACCTTGAGATGGAAGGCGATAAAATAAAAGTTGTATTACGGAATTGTTTATTTTCTTTCTCTTAGTCTGTTTCTTGCATCCTATAAGCATGCACAAATTCTGATCCTGTGCGGTGAGAAATCATATTCTCGTTAATCCGTCCAAAGCTACTAACCTGCATTGCCCGAGGTTTTCTTGACTAGGGAACATCTTCCCCAGAGGCAGGTAACATGTTGTTTTTCATCCGTATCGCATTGTCCCGCCTGATCGCATCGTCCATCCAGTTTTACTTTTTTCCTGCATTGGTTGTCCATCCTATCGCAGTACATTCCTGGTTTCTTACAGTGCTTCTTTGGGGAACATTGCTAAGCGGTATTGAAACGGTATATATTTATAGTTTACCTGTATCGAAATTTATGCCGATTGCTCCCAAGGAAGAAATGGCTGGTCACGGTGCATGGTAGTCGGGGAAGTTGAGAGAAGACTAATATTTAAGCAAACGAAGTAATTTTGAACAAGGTTTATAAACAAATCCGGTCAGCAGTACGTCGCTTACATGGGTTTGCACTACCTATGGCCATCAGCGATGAGCAGTATTTTTTGACGATGAATACATTTCATACGGTTGGTCCGACGTTATGAAGCTGAAAAAAGGCTTTAAAATAAAGAACTAATAGAAAACGTATCACATTATCACCTTAGCTGGTTCGTCTCCGAACAGTCCACCGAGTCCAAATGGATTGAAGATGTCCAACATGAATCCGTGCTTTCCTTTAGCCTTTCCAACTTTGTATTTACCAGGCTTCTTCGGATCAAAGATATTTGTCATCACTTTTTCTACACTTTGTCCAATGACTTCTGGCTTGTTATTTTTTCCCATCTTTGTCTGCTTCGTGACCGTTGTGACAGTCTTAAAAGGCCCGTTTGTCTCTGTTGTCGTTTCCGATTCTGTTTTGATATCTTTGTCGTCTTTTTTGCTCTTGTCGCTTGCTTCGGGGACGTTTGCTTTCAATCCAATGCCCATCCCAAGTGGCGCGGCGTTGAGCTCTGATTTGAGCAGATTTTGTGACGAAGTCTTCTTTATTTCGTGAACGTTTGATTTTGTTGCGTGAGATTTTTCTGGAGCGAACGATGAGAAAAATTATATTATGATGTATGGTGTATTGACTAAAATTGTGTAGTCATGTAGATCCAAACATATCGTCCTATAGTTTGTATTGGTGAAACAATTTAAAAGTGCTCAAGCACAACTTGGCCTAGCAATTATTTTTGAAACACCATGCAAGTTAATCGACAATTTTCTTGTTGTCGTTTTATGGCCGGACTGCTCTGGAAGATTTTGATCTTCATTTTACTGTATGTTCATTTAGAAATATCACCAAATATAATCGCATCATTTCTACGATCGCTCAATGCCGTGAATTAAAAAGCCTCCGCTGAAGAGAAAGATCCGTGAACATATATTGTTATAAATATACTAGTCTTATAATAATAATTTCAACATAATGTTATCGCTCTCTATATAACACCATTTTTTCTCTCAAATGCTCGATCATATAATTATAAGTTCTTCGCAAATTAACAAAAAGGAACTCTTGAGAATTACAGCAGCGAGTTTATACGTAGATCTGTCTCCGTAGACAGCGATTGTGAGTATTTATTGGCAATCAAAATAATTTACCTTCTTTCTTCTTTGCTAATCCCAAAACGGAACTTTGCAAAACAATCGCGACGCACAGCGCAAATACACAACACCACTGCATCGTAACTTCTTCTTCAAAGTTTTAAAACACTAATTTTTAAGCACCTTTTTCCACAGTCCAATTCAAGCTCTGACAAAAAATATATTGACAAGATTGTTGCATATAGGCCACCCGTCTTTGTGAGAAGGGTTTTAGTTAAATTGTATCAAAACAATTTAACAACCTGCGAATCTAGTAAACCCGTGCACGAGGTCATGGATAATCTTGATGCGGTTGTCTGCATGTAACCCGTTGTGCGTGTGTATTTATTTTTACGGAATATAACAAAAAGAAGAGCTGTTGCTTGTGATGGTTAGGTCGAAGCCGTTAACTCACTATACACGTTTAGCCATGCATTTGTCGAAACATGTGATATAAACTGAAATGTTGCATGAAGTCCAGAACTCGGATGTCATTCTTTATTTTTTTTACTTACGCGGTGATTTACTGCTGAGAAAACCAGTATTTATTTGAATTTATGCTGGGGCGAATGTATAAATTAAACGGCTAATCAACTACATTTTAATAAAGTAGCTACTGCCTTTCTATACAAAAGTATCTTGGGGTTTCTATAAATCTTAAAATATCAACTGTTTTTTTAACCGTAAGTTTTATTGGCCTGCTGATTGACTAACTGTAGATTTTACATGCCTCAGTCAAGAACTATGAGTGGGACTAAGCATTATTTTTATAATATGTCAATCAACTCAAACATGTTTTAATTGGTGATTTATGATACTCATATTTATTATGGTATAGTACTACGAGATATATCTCGTGAAAAGGATTATTTTTACTTTGCTTTTAAATTTAAAATAGACTTGTTATTTTCCGTTATGATGCATAAACATGCATAAACATGTATAAACAAGTTTAGTTTTCTAACAGAATATTGCCCAAGACACGATCAGTATAGTTTCAAATGAAGCCTATATATATGGGCCACATTTTGCTGCTGACTCGACACATTTTTTATGGTTAAAGCTGCTGGTGAGATTTACGTATTATGTTCCTGCACTTTCACGCAGCTCTGCTTCGAGACAATCGGTTTCTTTCGTGCTTTTAAGAAGGACACCCCACGCAGACCCAGTAGCTGCAATTAATTCTGGAACATTTTCCCCATCGCTCTAGCTGTGACCTGATCATGTTGTTGCCGTTTTTGATTCAGTTGATTCTGTAATAGTGTGACTTCTTTGTTTTTTGGTTCAAGATCCAGTGCCTATATGCATAGAATTTATCAGTTAAAAAATTAAATAGTTTAATTTTTAAGCTATACGTTTTTAGGATACATTGAGGGACCGTCCTTAAAACAAGTTTCTCACCGTGTTTAGATCAGCGCTTGCGTCATCAAAATCATTGAGAGCAGTATATGCCTGGTATGAGATAAGAACACTGAATAAGAACAATTAGGGAATTCAGGCTTGGTCAGTGGATATCAAATTAGCCGACATGATATCAGTTAACCTTTTTCGCAAACGCGTGATGCCAGAGTTGGAAAAAAAAACGGCGGGTATGCGGGTACCACCCGGAAGAAGGTTTGCTTTGAATGAGGTTTGTGAGGAAGGTTCAAAGTTGAACACTATAATTGATGACATGCATGTACCAAAACACCAAATATTTCTTTATGCTGGTTTCCACTTGACTCAGTAACGTCATTTTAAGGAAGGTTTTCAAAACTTGAAATCCTACCGGAGGAAGGTTGAACTCTTTTTGCAACTCTGCGTTGTGCGAGAATTTTTCCTAGCCACTGATCTATAAATATCACTAACATGTGTCCAGTTATAATTAAGGGACTGCTGATGAGTCAGATATCACACACGAAAATTTTCGTGGCTGCTGAGCCAACAAAATTTCATGTATAACATCTGTTCGACTTGTGTCCAAACAATTTTACTTCAGGGTATACCTTAGCTCGTCGGTAAAGTGCCTTGATATTAGCAGAATCATTTAGAAGTACCTATATGGTAGTCAGAATGTACAATATAACGTACTGTCAGTCAGTGATCAGATCGAGACAGGGTTCAGATTGGACCAGTCAAATCTGGACGCCGCTAACATTAGAGTTGGAGACTGGATACCTCTGCCAGCAATCACAGTTATCGATGAGCTTTTATGCTCGAATTTCTCTTCAGATCGATAATTTTTTTATATTTTGAACAGTGAAATAATCGTGCAAAACGATTAGCTTAAACGGTGACAAGCGCTAAAGTTTAAAAATGCTCTCATACATCTTGTGAATGACTGAAACTACATTTTATGCATTAAAAATGTTCTTTCGTTGAAAATTAAACTATTTACATCGAAATATTTCAACTCAGTTGTTCAATAAATCGATCGTTTTGTTTTCTTTAAACTTATCCACCGTTTAAACTAAACGCCTTTCCGGCCCCTGGTAACTTCTGAACTACATGTCAGCCTCGCGTTTAAGTAATATGTGAAGGACTTGGTACGAGACTGAATGTTTGAAGGGCGTTCAACTGGGGGAAGTGATGACCAGTTGTAAATTTTACCTTAGTACAATTTTCGATGACATGTTGGTACCTCTCTAGTTTCAACTGACAAGCCGCGAGATTCAAGTAACACTGCACCTGTAATAAAGCTGTATATATACGACAGCATGAATTAAAACAAGCCTAAATTTACCTTATGGCAAAGGAAATTAGTGGACTTCAAAAATGTTGATGACTGTGTTTAGGACGAAGATTTTCTAATCACTTTAATAACATCAACATGGGGTTAGATCAATTTAATAACATCAACCTCTTCCAAAAAAAAAAACGGTGCACTTACAAAAGTCTTCAATGCTTTTATCACTGGGCAACTGAGTTCTTGATATTATTAGGCTTCTTAATGCTTTGCTGTAATGCCTGGCTGCAAATAGCCATAAATCTGCCTGAATAAAGAAATTCATTATCACATGCGAGACTTATGCACTACCATCCCATAATTCTCATAATGTTACGCCAGTTGTTTTAAATCTTAATGAATAGGCCCGTTTCCATGAATCAGGTGGTCATTTCATTATCTCAATTAATCTCGTATCATACAAGTAAACAGGAATGGCTACATTATTTGGTGAAATGAATCTAAATGGCCAATCTTAGGGCTCTTGGAAACGCATTTTATGGTGCTTCTAACATGAATACTTTATGCCCAATCTCAAGTTAGTTGCAGAATTGAGTAATGAGAATTGTGTATATATTAGAAGTGGCTACGACTTAACTACTCAAAATATAGTAGTGAAGACTTTTTCACATCCGGCCCAGATGTATACATAGATGAGCCTCTAGCTTATCAAAACATCTGTGGTCAACCTGTCAACAATTTAACACTCTTCAGTTCAAGCATACTTTGTAATATCTTGTCCCCTTCGCCTTTTGTTTTTGTGCATAGTCACATCTTTCATCAAATGTCGACTCCCAGCTGTTTTTTGCCTGTACAGGTTAACACAGATTAAGAAATATAAGACTGTTTTTTTGCGTTGGTATAACGCAACCAAGTGGCCCGCAGTAAAACGATAATGGTCCACTGCAATAGGACGCGATTGGAACTCGTCCAAACACGATAAAACGAATCTTTGTGTCTTTAAATATACCTTCGTGAAAGAAACTAGCTCTATTTGATGATCAATGGCAAGTTTTTCTGATGTGTCGAGTTTCTTTAAATGATCTTGGAGTTCTTGACAGGGATGGATTGATACTTTGCATATTTCACCCGTACGCATCTCTTCCAAACATTCATTGATGATTTCTGACACGTAACCCGAGTCTAAAATATATCAGAGTAAACGCGTTATCTGCTGTGAAGCAAGTCAATACAAATTCTTGAATGCTATTAGACCAACAATGAGAATCCCCCACGTAAACTCAAAAGATTGCACAGGGATTTTAATACACAAGCATAACACTCAAGTGCTAAAGTAAAGGTAATTAATAGGGTGTAGCTGACACGTGCCTCAACCTCGTACCTAAGGTCTTTTCTCTGTGCTCACTCTGGGGGGACACGTGCCTGTGGCGCCCTATGCAGGAGTCTGGACCCCTCCATCTCGCCCTTGTCCAAGCCGGGAAAATGTGATATTATTAGTTATTAAGAAAGGCCACATTTCGGTTACCTTGTCCAATAATCCATGTTTCATCTTTCTTTTCAAATAAAGGATTCTCTTCTCCTTGGAACGCCTGAAGATTTACTAAACATATATATATATATATATATATATTAATATATATATATATAATATTATTATAATATATATATATATATATATATATATATATATATATATATATATATATATACATCCATTTGCAAAAACGTTGGCCGCAGATAGATAGATAGATAGATACTCGAAATCGAAATATGTTGTGTAATATGATTGAAATCCCATGCAAATGTAATCATATGCAATTCTAATTAGACTTCGAGTATCTATCTATCTATCTATCTGCGGCCAACGTTTTTGCAAATGGGTATATATATATATATATATATATATATATATATATATATATATATATATATATATATATATATATATATACATATATACATATACCATTTACTTTATACAGCAGCGTACCTCGAAATTATTGACCCTTTGATGAATAACAGGAAATTCTGGCCTTATATTTAGTGCTCCTAATCTTATGTAACTGAAATTAGTTGCATGAGACTTAGCAAACTCGATTATAGATCATTAAAATCATTATAGATCATAAAAAAAGTGATCATAAATTTTTCCCTTTTGGGGGGGTCAGGGCCGTAACTAGACGGCTTTATTTGGGGGTGTACATATTAATTTTTACATATAGAAACAATAGCGTACAAAAGAAATCAGTGGGGCATGAAGACGAATATATGAATTTGGACTGGACGTTTCCGTGTACTCGTAACAGGCCTCCAGGGTGTCCCGTTTATTTTTCGAATCGATCTACAGTAGAAAGCAGTAAATGCAGAAAGCTGCATTTACGGTAGTTGATTATCGAAGTTATTTTGACTTTATATGATAACGCTGCAGGGATAACGCTGTAGGGATACCGCTATGTTCGGAGCGATTTAGTTCAACAAAGAAACAAAACAATCGGCAGGATGAGGGAGTACTATTTGATGGATCATGGATGATAACATTCGTGTCTGGCGGTACGTTAAAAACCACAATTACGATTATAGACTGAGCGTCTAATACAATTGCCCAATGTTAAGCAGAAATTGTTCGTTGAGCTGGGCATTCTAATAACCCGAAGCTGTCTTGACTAGACTAGTATTGCGCCTGAGTTCTATTGCATGCATCAACAAGATAGTGCCAAGCAATCAAGTTTGGGAGAGACATCACATTAAAGACCCTGTCCCTGGTAAAAGAGTTCAAGCCTTCCAAAAGCCCCAGGTATGACCATGTCAAAATTTGTATGCTTTTTAGGTCGTTCACTTGACAGTTAGCGAGTTAGCAACTCGGCAAAATACACGCACGAATTTGCACATGCCTCGTGTGGGTTCACCCCAGTGGTTCACCCTATCCCAAGAGGAAATCCCCTATTGCTAGAATCAGCCAATGAGCGGACAGAACTTATGGATAATTTTTACAACATAATTTAGAAAATTAGTTAAATTACCAAAACGTTTATATATTGCAGTAAAATATAGTCAGGACCAAAGTCGTTTAGTCATAACTCACTCAAACAGACGGAGCCTTCGTTTGGACACTCCAAGCCATCCCCTTTTCTCACAAGCTTTTTGGTAAAATATTTCGCTCTTCCAGTCATTTGCAAAGCGAACTTTAAAGAAAATTGTGAAGATTTTGTAAATTAGGAAAATCAATTTTATGTGTTTATGTGCCAGCTGTTAGTGTGACCAGCAGCGTTTTCTTTCCATCCCTCAAAATGAGATACAGTAATCGATATATTTATTTCAGCAAATGCGTCTAACAAACATCGTCTTATAAATAGTAAATACAAGATACTCAATTCGTAGAGACGAAGGTCCTAAGTTGTAACGAAGAAATCAGAAAGATTAATTTAAATGAACTGAAAGTTGCAGGAGCACATGGCAATTTCATACGATTTTCTCAGGTTAATACCGAAGTTTTTTAGATTCCTTTATCTTTTTAGACCTTTTATCTTACTTTTTAGATCTTTAATATAAAATATATACGTAGTAAACGTGTAAATATTTCATAATTCATTCCTAACTGCTGACATGATGACATCTCGCGTTTTTATAGAGGAACTCGTGCAACAGCCGCCATCTCTGTCATTTTGAACGATGCGATATAATTGTACCGAGCATCCGATTTTCGGGCATTTAGAACGTATTTAATTAATCGAACTTTGTTCCGCTCTATAATCCTTTTTGTGTTTAATATGTTTTTGTTTTGAAATGGTAAAAGTCTTGAGCTTTAATTATATTTTCAAGTATTCATTTGATTTGGTGACCCAAGTTTATTTTAAAAAGGTAAAAATTTAACACATCTTAATTATTAATATCGTAAATTCGCTTTTTTCCATTCTATTTGTATTTACTGTCAGATCTAAGTTTCTGCTGTGATCTTTTGATCGTATAATTCGTATTTAAAATATTGTTTAATCCATTGTGCATAGGCTCCATAAACATATAGGCTTCTGCAGTGGAGTTATTTAAATCCCAATTATCTTGATCGTCTATAATGAAGATCACTTGATTGTCTATGAATGTTTTTACTCATTTATTGTTAATGAATTTCAGTATACATCTGGCTATGACAAGAATGTAGAGGAAGTATGGGTGGTCGAAGAGAATAAAGGTAACATTCTAATTCTATGACATGATAAAAGACATGTGAAGTGAAATATGACAAGTGGAATGCCAGCTTTTTCCACATGTATTACAACTGTGATATTAATTATTAAAATTAAAAAAGCATTCTGAAAAGTTGAAATTAAATGTAGCACTTAGGCTGTGCTGTACTTGATGCATTGTGCAAACTAGACATATTAAAATGATCTAAAGAGTGACAATTAATGACTGCATGGTTGTCAGCAAACATTTAAAATTAACCAATCCATGCAGGTTAAAAATTGTGTAATGTGGTGATGAATATTTGTATATCTTTGCAAATTTGACATCTTGGTTAGCTTGCATTAATTTGCAATGTGATTGATGTAGCCCACTGTACATATTGTAACACAGTGATTAACCTGAGACAAATGTTGAAATCAAAATTTATTGTTCTCAATAAACTTGTATTTCAATTTGCAGATATAGAGCACAATGTAGATTATATAAAAAGGAAAGGGAAATGTGCTAATATTATTCCATGGTCTTTGCAAATGGTATGTTTTGTCATCTGCAGAATATATCAATTTGATAGGTTATAAAAATGGTTTAACAGACTGATATCAAGACCAGTATTTTAAATAAAATAGATTTTTAAAGTTTTTATATGATCCTATAAGTACCATCCTGCAAATCCAAACTTCTGGTAAATTAAAATTCAGTCTGCGAGCAGGCTACATGCATGCATAAGTACCATATATTTATATGTAAGTACATTGATACATCCTTTTGCTTTTGAGCTAGCAAATGCATTCAAGAGTATTTATCTTATTTTTAGTTCTTCTGTGAGCCAGCCATCTATTTTGAGGAAGAAATATGGTTTAACAGGAATGAAAAGAAGATGACCATGTATACAAGGAATGTTTCCTTTACAGAACTAGCCACTTTAGAAGAGCGAAGTGTTTACAAAGTATCTGATGAAGATGATCGATGGTAATAATGATCTTATGCAATATTGCAACCAAATCTATCAAATCTGCAAAGGCCAATTTAAAAAAAGCTGGGCTAAGTCTTGTATGGTAGATAAGGTTTGGCATAAAGGTAAATTTATAAACCTTTATGCATTCTTATAAACTGTGATTAAACTGAGTTCATGTGAATGCTGCTGACAGGCAAACATGTTTAAGGCAGGAAGGAGTACTGAAATTTTAAAAACATATAATGAACAGCCAATTGCACCTTGTTTTCTTATTCATCACATAATATTACACTTATAAATATGTCTCGAATGTCTTCAGAAAACGGGGAGCCATAATTTCACCTTAATTCCTAAACTTTCAGGACTACATTTGAGCAAGAGGGAACTATCACAGTTAATGGCATTGGATGGTTCAATTCTTTTGCTGAGAAATGTGCGGCAACTGTGTTTTCCTATGGTGCGAACAAGGTAAGAATGTTAATGTGCACCTATATGCATACTATGTCAATTTTACCAGAAATATGGTTTAAACAAACAACATCAAGCAACATGAAGGACCAATGCAACACATTTCCAACCATTGAACTAACAGCAAATGTTGAAATAAGGTGCAACAAGGTGCAACATGAAAACAAACAAACATGCAAAAAATTGCGCATTAACGTACAAAAGCAGTATCCAGGCAAGAAGTTAAACAGTAACCAAACAAGCAGAAAACAGTCCTTCTTCAAAACTGTTTCCGATTTAGGGTTTTGGCATAATGGAAGAACTTCTGAAGAAATTGGAAAATGAAGAATCATGACAGAAGATGAAACAAGCAAAATTTAGATTCTCTTTATTGTGAAATTCTCTTGTTGTGCAAGAAGAAGCTGTAAATAGCGCTGATCTATTGAACAGTCAAAAATTTAAATTATAATTTATTGTCATTAATTAAAAATAACCATGATATCCATTGAACCATTGAACATTCAGTTGTAAAATCACTCTATAAAGCTCAATAGATTATTTAATTAAACATCAATTTTATCTCGTATTGCCATGTATATGTGTATTAATTAAGTCATTATGAACTGTCTTTCTAAAAGAGTGGCCTAAAAATCAGTCTATCCGTAGACACTAGTTTTCAGCCTTCTCTGAAAATCTTCCAGTTTTATTTCAAATAATCCCCATACAAGCCCGGATTTTACTTTCGTGAGTATGCTTTCGCATGTATGTAGTTCAAGTGCCAGAAGCATTTGCAGAATGCTATAATTATCATGCACAGTGCCTGTTCACGTTTATCTTTTCAGGCAGTCCGGACAGACCAAACAGCGAAAAAACTTTTCTTACCTTCATTCTTTTCTTTTCTTACAATAGATACAATAAAACGTCCAGTTAGGATCAACGATGAAAAAAATCACTAACAACTGTCCCATACCTGGATGGAAACGAATGATATGTCAAAGAAAGACGGGAAAAACTTCAGGAAAATTTGATGTGTACTTCGTAGAACCTAATGGAAAGCGACTTCGGTCACGCAGGGAGATATCAAGCTATTTGGAAGAGAACGGTTTGGATGTTTCCCTGGACCTGTTTTGTTTTAGAACTGGCAAAAATTTCTGTGAGAGAACATTGACGAACGTGAAAGAGAAAAAGAAAGAGAGTCAAGTTTGTTCGTCTGCTACAAAGTCTTGCTATTTCAGCCAGGAAAAACTTCAATCGGAGAATAGCGATGTTTCGATGGGTGTTGGAGGCAACATTAGTGTCAAGAAAAAGGTATGTATGTAGGTCAGTAGGTATGTAATATGAACCTTGTAGTGGGCTGACTACTATAGTCTATACTGGTTAACCAACTGGGTATTCTGTATTCAATATTCTTTTCGTTCAATTAAGTTCGTTCAAGTTACGTTACGTACATTTTGTTACTAACATTTACGTTACTAACATTTTTATCAGCCTCGTATGTGCTCATTCTTTGTCCCTTTGGTATTAAAAGCATGTCATCTGATAGTTAAAAGCCTGATCTTTCCGAATGTGAAAAAATTTCGTTCATAGACTGAGTAGTTCACGTACAATAGCGTGTTGGATTACCTTTTTTTTTATACACTCTGTATACTAAAAAACCTCTCGACGTTCCGACTTATGGGCTTTCGAAAAAGGTCATCAGGTTGAGAGGTTCAAAAACGAATGGTTCAAAACTAAGTAGAATTACATTCTTTCATGAAAAACACCTAAAATCAAACTTTGACGAATTTCAAAATTAGAGGCAAATGGGTAACTGGGGACCAAAGGGCCTGGGTCAGTGTGACATTCTATGCTCCCCCATTCTTTACCATAATTTCAGCTGAACTCAAGATCCGCTTGAAACATATACAGCGAGTTCAATGTGTTTTTAGTACAGTTTTTTGTTCACCTCCCAATATAACGTTGAAGCTAAATGGCTGCAACATTTTTTTTTGTATCAATGAAACTTATGATGGACCTACTGTACATAGACCTGCAAAGCCATTCATTGACCCCCCCCCCCCATATCCTAATTAGCCATCCATACACTTCCATAGTCATCAATAGGCCTTTGTCATATCATTCTGGTCGAATTTTAGTTCCAGTATTCCGAAATGGAGCCTGAGCTAGCGGTGGAAAAACCGGAGAGAATACGTCAATCACAGACACAAATTGACAAAAACACTGTACAACAGGACAAGAGACAAACAAGTCCCTACTTCAAAAAGAACTGTTTGTCCTCAGCTGCTGATCATGGTGAAAGAGTATCCTTTGAGCCGTGGCAAGGCGGTATAGTAAACTTACCACCGAAAGGGAAGATTTTGAAAGACTTTGAAAGCTCCTCGTCAGGTAGGTTCACCAAGTTGTTTATTCCGGAAAATTTTACAGATAAATGAATATGGCGATGAAAGAATGCCCATTAAACCACTATGTAGTACCCCGAGCCTAACTGGCTTACCAAATCAAATGCTACCAAACGTTATTTTCTGTGCAATTCCAGGAACTCCAAAATGTTCATCTCCTGAATCAGAATTTCCGAACTGTTATCCTTCTGAACCACTGAGGATGAATATTTTTGACAAAAAAGAAAGGGGGTTTCTTCAGACTGAAACAAGCACGATTGTTCGCTTCCCAGATCAAGGGCTAATAAGCGATTTCGACAGACCGTCTTTGGGATTGGCAAACCGACCTTCCTCAAGACCAGCGTTGGGTTATCTTTATGAAACAAAAGTGCGCACAAGCCTCACAGAAAACCCCGGCTTAGTGAAGTTTCCCATTGAAGGTGGTTTCTCGAATAGTTCCAAGACATCAACTGTGCCGGATGATTACTCGTTAGAAAAGATGGAGATACAACGGAAAGAAAGAATGGCCAACCAGCCTAACAGCATTGCGATGAATCAACAAATACAACCCGCACAAATCACCGACGAATTTCAGCATTTACCTCCAGGCTTGCAAAGGTTTCACAGCTTAAGGTACACTGCCCCTAAATCTCCATTCAACTTGATACAAGAAAAGCTTTGTCATGATCCATGGAAACTTTTGGTAGCAACCATCTTCCTTAATAAAACTAAAGGATGCAACGCTATTCCGATTTTGTGGAAATTTTTCGATCAATTCCCAAATGCTGCTGCCACAACAAAAGCTGATCCAACCGAAATTGAAGGTAAGCGAATTACTTCATTATATTGCATAGCCTAGTCCGGTCTACAATCATATCCTGGACAAATATATGGAGACTATTTGTTAATTTCACAAATATCTATTACAAAGTGCTAAATTCGTGCAGTTTCTTTTAATCATATCCTGGACAAATATATGGAGACTATTTGTTAATTTCACAAATATCTATTACAAAGTGCTAAAATCGTGCAGTTTCTTTTAATAATTCTAAAATTCCCACTCCCCCAGGAGCAATGTTGAGTGAAATGAAGTCACTTACCGAGATATATCGCGTAAATATCAACTTTGTACACGGGGGGAGGGAGAACGTGCATGACACAATAGAAAAAGTCTACTACTTTATTCCGAGATTGTAGTGTTACGATTTATGCACTGTATATTGACAACAAGACGCCCACTCAGGCGTTTACTCCGCCTGGAGCAAAATATTGTGCGGTTAGCGAGAATGACACCTATAAAGCTTAGATCTCATCGGCAATGGCCATTGTCGGCGGTCACCGATGAATGAAGTGCTATATAATAATTTGGCGTGCCCAAATAGGCAAATAAATAGGAGTGCGTTGAAATTTTAACAATTTTATACAGAATCACAATTTATCACGGAGCGGGTTGTGACCCCCACAACGGGCATTTTAAGACTCCCCTGCTACGAAGGTGGGTAATTAAACTTCATCGTTTTTAAAGTTGGGGGACGATAAAGCCTATTCATTCATGCATGCAGGCTTGCTAGAAACGAATCATCTAAGGCTGCATTCTCACGGTACTGGATTCGCTCGTCAAAACATTTCGTTTGTCGTTATGAAGCAACGATTATTTATTAGCAAAGGCTTATCAATAATTTAATATATTTATTCAGGTTTTCGAAATTACAAACTTTCCTGTCTTTTATTAACTTCAAAATTTAACCTGTTCCGAGGCCAAAACTGCAGTGAGAATTTACAATCAAAACGTTTATCGGTTTCCAACTGCTTTGAAAGAACAAGTGCTAAAAATAAAATAATCTTCACATTGCCAATCCCTATTGATAGGTTATGCAAACTGCCGTTACATTCTGCTAATCTCCTATTTTTATTCAAAGATATGATCCAATCCTTGGGCTTGTTCCGTAAACGTGCACGAATCTTAAAACGTTTCTCAACGGAGTATCTCTGCAAGGCGTGGCAGTATCCTAATGAACTTCATGGTATCGGCAAGTATGGGAATGACTCGTTTCGAATGTTCTGTCTCGGAGAGTGCAAAGATGTTCTACCTGATGATCATAAACTAAATCTGTACCACACCTGGTTATGTGAACCAGAAAGAAAGGCTTCTACGATTGCTGAGGAACTGCATTAAAAAGGTATGGCTACGATCAATTTCCATTATTAGTTACGCCTAGTTAATTGTAGTTTTCATGAAAAAACTACAAACTCTAATTTTCGAGCACATAAAATCATACCAAAGGAAAAATCCTCATTTTCTTTCATGAAAACTTTACATTTGAACACATAAAATGATACTGTCATCAAAATCAAAATTTCAGCCTAATCGGTTACGGGGGATAAAGGAAAAATCCTCATTTCGTCACTTTTGCGGAATATAAAAATTGGGTTGAAAATACATCGAAATGATGCCAAACTAAGTACCATTGCATTCTTTCATGAAAACATTACATTTGAACATATAAAATCGTACTTTCATTAATTTCATAATTTCAGCCTAATCAGCTACGGGGGACCAAATGAAAAATCCTCACTTTCGTCACTTTTGCGGAATATAAAAATTGGGTTGAAAATATATCGAAATGATGGCAAACTAAGTAGAATTGCATTCTTTCATGAAAATATTACATTTGAACACATAAAATCGTACTTTCATTAATTTCATAATTTCAGCCTAATCGGCTACGGGGGACCAAAGGAAAAATCCTCATTTTGGTCCCGTTTGCGGAATATAAAAATTGGGTTCAGAATATACCGAAATGATGCCAAACTAAGTACAATTGCATTCTTTCATGAAAACAATACATTTGAACACATAAAATCATACTTTCATGAATTTCAAATTTTCTGCCAAATCGGCTGCGGGGGACCAAAGGAAAAATCCTCATTTTCGTCACTTTTGCGGAATATAAAAATTGTGTTGAAAATACGTCGAAATTATGCCAAACTAAGTACAATTGCATTCTTTCATGAAAACATTACACTTGAACACAAAAAATCATACTTTCACCAAAATCAAAATTTCAGCCTAATCGGCTGCGGGGGACCAAAGGAAAAATCCTCATTTTCGTCACTTTTGCGGAATATAAAAATTGGGTTCAAAATACATCGAAATGATGCCAAAATAAGTACAATTGCATTCTTTCATGAAAACAATACACTTGAACACATAAAATCATACTTTCACCAAAATCAAAATTTCAGTCTAATCGGCTACGGGGGACCAAAGGAAAAATCCTCATTTTCGTCACTTTTGCGGAATATAAAAATTGGGTTGAAAATACATCGAAATGATGCCAAACTAAGTACAATTGCATTCTTTCATGAAAACAATACACTTGAACACATAAAATCATACTTTCATTAATATCAAAATTTCAGCCTAATCGGCTGCGGGGGGGACCAAAGGAAAAATCCTCATTTTCGTCACTTTTGCGGAATATAAAAATTGGGTTCAAAATACATCGAAATGATGCCAAACTAAGTACAATTGCATTCTTTCATGAAAACAATACACTTGAACACATAAAATCGTACTTTCATCAAAATCAAAATTTCAGCCTAATCGGCTGCGGGGGACCAAAGAAAAAATCCTCATTTTCGTCACTTTTGCGGAATATAAAAATTGGGTTGAAAATACATCGAAATGATGCCAAACTAAGTACAATTGCATTCTTTCATGAAAACAATACACTTGAACACATAAAATCATACTTTCACCAAAATCAAAATTTCAGCCTAATCGGCTGCGGGGGACCAAAGGAAAAATCCTCATTTTCGTCACTTTTTTGGAATATAAAAATTGGCATGGGTTCAAAATACATCGAAATGATGCCAAACTAAGTACAATTGCATTCTTTCATGAAAACAATACACTTGAACACATAAAATCATACTTTCACCAAAATCAAAATTTCAGCCTAATCGGCTGCGGGGGACCAAAGGAAAAATCCTCATTTTCGTCACTTTTGCGGAATATAAAAATTGGGTTCAAAATACATCGAAATGATGCCAAACTAAATACAATTGCATTCTTTCATGAAAACAATACACTTGAACACATAAAATCATACTTTCACCAAAATCAAAATTTCAGCCTAATCGGCTGCGGGGGACCAAAGGAAAAATCCTCATTTTCGTCACTTTTGCGGAATATAAAATTTGGGTTGAAAATACATCGAAATGATGCCAAACTAAGTACCATTGCATTCTTTCATGAAAACATTACATTTGAACACATAAAATCGTACTTTCATTAATTTCATAATTTCAGCCTAATCGGCTACGGGGGACCAAAGGAAAAATCCTCATTTTCGTCACTTTTGCGAAATATAAATATTGGGTTGAAAATACGTCGAAATGATGCCAAACTAAGTACAATTGCATTATTTCATGAAAACATTACATTTGAACACATAAAATCATACTTTCATGAATTTCAAAATTTCTACCAAATCGGCTACGGGGTACCAAAGGAAAAATCCTCATTTTTGTCACTTTTGCGGAATATAAAAATTGGGTTGAAAATACATCGAAATGATGCCAAACTAAGTACAATTGCATTTTTTCATGAAAACAATACACTTGAACACATAAAATCATACTTTCATTAATATCAAAATTTCAGCCTAATCGGCTGCGGGGGGGACCAAAGGAAAAATCCTCATTTTCGTCACTTTTGCGGAATATAAAAATTGGGTTGAAAATACATCGAAATGATGCCAAACTAAGTACAATTGCATTCTTTCATGAAAACAATACACTTGAACACATAAAATCGTACTTTCATCAAAATCAAAATTTCAGCCTAATCGGCTGCGGGGGACCAAAGGAAAAATCCTCATTTTCGTCACTTTTGCGGAATATAAAAATTGGGTTGAAAATACATCGAAATGATGCCAAACTAAGTACAATTGCATTATTTCATGAAAACATTACATTTGAACACATAAAATCATACTTTCATGAATTTCAAAATTTCTACCAAATCGGCTACGGAAGACCAAAGGAAAAATCCTCATTTTCGTCACTTTTGCGGAATTTAAAAATTGGGTTGAAAATACATCGAAATGATGCCAAACTAAGTACAATTGCATTCTTTCATGAAAACAATACACTTGAACACATAATATCATACTTTCATTAATATCAAAATTTCAGCCTAATCGGCTGCGGGGGGACCAAAGGAAAAATCCTCATTTTCGTCACTTTTGCGGAATATAAAAATTGGGTTGAAAATACATCGAAATGATGCCAAACTAAGTACAATTGCATTCTTTCATGAAAACAATACACTTGAACACATAAAATCGTACTTTCATCAAAATCAAAATTTCAGCCTAATCGGCTGCGGGGGACCAAAGGAAAAATCCTCATTTTCGTCACTTTTGCGGAATATAAAAATTGGGTTGAAAATACATCGAAATGATGCCAAACTAAGTACATTTGCATTCTTTCATGAAAACAATACACTTGAACACATAAAATCATACTTTCACCAAAATCAAAATTTCAGCCCAATCGGCTGCGGGGGACCAAAGGAAAAATCCTCATTTTCGTCACTTTTGCGGAATATAAAAATTGGGTTCAAAATACATCGAAATGATGCCAAACTAAGTACAATTGCATTCTTTCATGAAAACAATACACTTGAACACATAAAATCATACTTTCACCAAAATCAAAATTTCAGCCTAATCGGCTGCGGGGGACCAAAGGAAAAATCCTCATTTTCGTCACTTTTGCGGAATATAAAAATTGGGTTCAAAATACATCAAAATGATGCCAAACTAAATACAATTGCATTCTTTCATGAAAACAATACACTTGAACACATAAAATCATACTTTCACCAAAATCAAAATTTCAGCCTAATCGGCTGCGGGGGACCAAAGGAAAAATCCTCATTTTCGTCACTTTTGCGGAATATAAAAATTGGGTTTAAAATACATCGAAATGATGCCAAACTAAGTAGAATTGCATTCTTTCATGAAAACAATACACTTGAACACATAAAATCGTACTTTCATCAAAATCAAAATTTCAGCCTAATCGGCTACGGGGGACCAAAGGAAAAATCCTCATTTTCGTCACTTTTGCGAAATATAAATATTGGGTTGAAAATAAGTCGAAATGATGCCAAACTAAGTACAATTGCATTATTTCATGAAAACATTACATTTGAACACATAAAATCATACTTTCATGAATTTTAAAATTTCTACCAAATCGGCTACGGGGGACCAAAGGAAAAATCCTCATTTTCGTCACTTTTGCGGAATATAAAAATTGGGTTGAAAATACATCGAAATGATGCCAAACTAAGTACAATTGCATTCTTTCATGAAAACAATACACTTGAACACATAAAATCATACTTTCACCAAAATCAAAATTTCAGCCTAATCGGCTGCGGGGGACCAAAGGAAAAATCCTCATTTTCGTCACTTTTGCGGAATATAAAATATGGGTTCAAAATACATCGAAATGATGCCAAACTATGTACAATTGCATTCTTTTATGAAAACAATACACTTGAACACATAAAATCGTACTTTTATCAAAATCAAAATTTCAGCCTAATCGGCTGCCGGGGACCAAAGGAAAAATCCTCATTTTCGTCACTTTTTTGGAATATAAAAATTGGGTTGAAAGTACATCGAAATGATGCCAAACTAAGTACAATTGCATTCTTTCATGAAAACAATACACTTGAACACATAAAATCATACTTTCACCAAAATCAAAATTTCAGCCTAATCGGCTGCGGGGGACCAAAGGAAAAATCCTCATTTTCGTCACTTTCGCGGAATATAAAAATTGAGTTGAAAATACGTCGAAATGATGGCAAACTAAGTACAATTGCATTCTTTCATGAAAACAATACACTTGAACACATATTATCGTACTTTCATCAAAATCAAAATTTCAGCCTAATCGGCTGCGGGGGACCAAAGGAAAAATCCTCATTTTCGTCACTTTTTTGGAATATAAAAATTGGGTTCAAAATACATCGAAATGATGCCAAACTAAGTACAATTGCATTCTTTCATGAAAACAATACACTTGAACACATAAAATCGTACTTTCATCAAAATCAAAATTTCAGCCTAATCGGTTGCGGGGGACCAAAGG